GGCCAGCCTGGTCTACAAAACGAGTTCCAAGACAGCCAAGGCTGTTACAAAGAGAAACCCTGTCTTCTCAAACCACCAAAATAAAAAGAAAATCAAACAACAACAACAAAAATCATTAATGAAAACACAACATCCCAAAACCTATGGGACACAATGAAGGCAGTCCTAACAAGAAAAGTCCATAGCACTAACTGCTTACATTTAAAAAAAAAAAAAAAAGGAAAAGAGAAAAAAAAAACTCAAATTAGTACGTTCTGATATACCTAAAGGCTAAAGAGTTGGTTCTTTGTAAAGTTTGACTAAGCTTTAGCCAAATCAACTAAAATAAAAAAGGATCCAAATTATTAACAAGGAGACATTACAACAGACATCAAGAGAATTCAGAGAATCATAAGGATATTTAAAAAAAAGTTACATGCCACCAAACTGGAAAATCTAAAACAAACAGATGGATTTCTAGATATGCATGCCTAATCAAAGCTAAATCAAGATGAAACAAATAATTTAAATAGAACCATAACATCCAACCAGATAGAAACAATTATTAAAAATCCCCCAACTGAAAATAGCACAGTACCAGATGGATGAATTAAGCACAGAATTCTAATGGACCTTCAAAGAACTCATATAAATACTTCTCAAATTATTACACAAAATAGAAAATTACGGAACATTTCTTAGTTTTTACAAAGCTAGTATCACTCTCATTCCAAACCTAGTCAAAGATCTCCCCACACACAAGAAAAGAAAATCATAATCCAATCTCTCTAATGAATAAGAACACAAAAATTCTCAGTAAACCACTTCCAAACTGAATTCGAGAACACATCACAAGGATCAGCCACCATGATCAAGTTTATTTCATCACAGGGATAGAGGGATGGTTCAATATATACATATAAATAAATGTAATCTACCACATAATAGACGGGAGAACAGAAATCTAATGATTATCTCATCTCTTTAGATGGAGAAAAGGCCTTTGATAAAAATCTAACATACTTTCATAAGAAAAGTGCTAGAGTATCCAGGACTACAGGGGACCTATCTCAACCTAAGAAAGGCAACATATACCAAGATCACAGCCAACATCATCCCAAATGGGAGAAAAAAAGAAAACAACAATAACAAAAAGCATCTATGCCCATTCTCTTCTATCCTATTCAATATAATACTGGCAATCTTAGGGCAAAGAACAAGTGAAAGAGATAAAGAGGCTATAAATATGAAAGGAAAAAAAAAGTATCCTTGTTTATAAGTGATATGATTCCACACAGAAAAGACCCTAAAGACTCTACCAGAAAGCTCCTATACCTGATAAACACATTTGGCAAAGTAGTAGGATACAAAATTAACACACACACACACACACAAAAGTAGCCTTCCTAAGTTAAGTACAAGAAAAAAAAATCAGGCAAACAACTCCCTTCACCACAGCCTCAAAACAAACAAACAAACAAACAAAAAACCTTGGAATAAATCTAAGGAAGTGAAAGACTTTTTAAAATGTTCAAGAAAACATTAAGACACTGAAAAACAAAATTGAGGAAGATACCGGAAGACATATGTGAGAGAGCTTAAAACTCCAGGGAGTGTGCATTCCCCATTCTTACTTCCCAGAGGTCAGTCTTTGCCACCTGCTAGGGATGGGGACATTAGGTGGGAATGAGTATACAGACAAGCTCCCTGGCAGGGCTCTCCTCTGCCCCCCCTGCTTCATGTTCATGGACTGGTAGGAAAAATATTGTGAAAATGGCCTTCCTACCAAAATTAGTCTACCAATACAATACAGTCTCCATCAAAACTGACACAATTCTTCACAGAAATAGAAAAATAATCTTAAATTCTATTTGGAAACTCAAAATACCCAGGAGAACTAATACTACTGGAGGTATCAACATCTCATATTTTAAAGTATACTACAGAGTTATCACAATAAAAACAACATGGCACTGGCATAAAATCAGGCACACTGATCAACAGGAGGGGACTATGGTCCACAATCCTTACTGCTACCCAACTTTTGACAAACAAGCCAACAAGATACTGGAGAAAATACATCCTCAACAAATGCTGCTGCTCAAACTGGATAGTGTTATGTAAAGGAAATCAGATCCTTATCTGTCACCTGTACATAAATCGACTCCAAATGGATCAAGGACCCTGACATAATACCTCATTGATACCCTGAATCTGATAGAGGAGAAAGCAGGGAAGGTACTTGTGCTTATGGGCACAGGAAAGGGCTTTCTGAATAGGATTCTGGTAGCATAGCCATTAACACAAACAAGTAAGACCTCGTTAAGCTAAAAAGCTTCTGAACAACAAAGCACACCATCATTTGAGGGAAGACACAGCCTAATGGGTGGGTTGGGGAGACCTTACAGCTATACGTCTGACAGAGGTTAGTATCTAGAATACACAAAGAGCTCAAAACAAAAACATCAAGAAAATCAACATATGAAGCATAGACCTAAATAAACAAAATATTATGAAAAGATGAACTACAAATGGTTAAGGAACATTTTTTAAAAGATGTTCAACATCTTTAGCCATCCGAGAAATGCAAATTAAAACTACTTTGAGATTTCACCTTACAGTGAAGGCAGAATGGCCAAGATGAAAAAAGCAAGCAAGGAAGGGACAATAAATGCTGATGTAGATACGGGGAATGGTATTTTACTGCTGATAAGAGTATAAACTGGTGTATCCACTATGGAAATCAGTCTGAATACTCAAAAAACTATAATCAGCTTGTCTTAGTTTGTTTTTTGATTGCTGTAAAGGGACACCATGACCATAGCAACTCTTATAAAGGAAAACATTTTACTGGGGCTGGCATATAGTTTCAGAGGTTTATTCCATTATCATGATGACAGGAAGCATGGCAATATGCAGACCTCCACAGTGATACACTTCCTCCAAGGCCACACCCAATCCAACAAGGCCATGCCTCCTAATAGTGCCGCTCCCTATAGGCCAAGCATTCATACAAGAGTCTACGGGGGCTATTCCTATTCACACCACCCATGTTCTACTCCCTGGCCCTCATAGGTTTGTAGTCATAACATAATGCAGAAATGTATTCAGTCCAACTTCAAAAGTCCTCATAATCTATAACAGTCTCAACCTTGTTTAAGAGTTGTCCCTTCTGAGATTCATGAAATCTCTTAACTGTAATACCCCGTACAATCAAAATAAAAAAGCAGATCACATACTTTTAACATACAATGGCACAGGATATATCATTCCAAAATGGAGGCGGCAAGGAAGCATGGTAAAGAAATAATTGGACCAAAGCAAGGCCAACAACCAGCTGGGCAAACACCAAACTCTGCATCTTCATGTCTGATGTCAAAACACTCTTCAGATCTCCAAAAGCCTTCAGCTTTGTTGACTGCAACATACTTCTTTCTCTTGAGCTGGTTCCACTCCCTGTTAGTAGCTCTCAGCAGATATCCCATTACTCTGGCATCTCCAACATCTTGGGGTCTCCAAGGCAATTCAGGCTTCACTGTCACAGCTTCACAAATGGCTTCTCTGGGCCTCCATGCAGGTACACTTGACACATGCCTGGCCTCAGCACCTTTCCTTAGTCAAGGAGGGCAATTCCGTAATTTCTTTATTGTATCCTTGATTCTAAAAACAGAACCACGTGGCCAAAACTGCTGCATTCTGCTGCTTTCTGGGGCTGGAGCATAGTCTCCTCGTTCAATTACATCTTCACCAGCTTTCTCTTTTTTGATGGTTACCTTCACTGCCTAAGCTTGGCTGTTCTGAAACTTGCTCTGTAAACCAGGCTGGCCTTGAATTCAGACATCTGCATGTCTCTGTCTCCTGAGTGCCAGGATTGAAGGCATGTACCACCACACCTGGTCCGAACCTGTTCTTTAATTCCTTTTCACTAGTTGGAAGCTTAGCTGGGTGGGATCTTGCCCTGAGGTCTCCATTCCCTTTACTCCATTTAACATGAGGCTTTTTAAAATCTGTTTATCTTCTTGAACACAGGATTTAGCTCCATTTCACTTCTCAGAGCCCCTTTTCTCCTCAAATTGTACCTTCAGTATTTTTCCTTGCTTAGCCTGTGCCTTTCCATTATAGATCTTCATAAGAGTGAATGCTAACAACCATACAACAGAATCAATACTAAGCTGTTTTGAGATTTCCTTTGCTAGCAGAATTAATGAAAAACTCTTCCATTTACTCTCAGAGTTTTCAGACAAGGGCAAAAAGCAGCCATTTTTTTTTTTACCAAAATATCACAAAACAATCCCTAGGGAAACATACTAACATTCTTCTCTTGACCCAGGCTCTCAAAGTTCAAATCAACCTCAGCACCACTGCCTTCCATGATCCTACTGATATAGCCCATTAGGCCCCACATAAAACATTCAACTGCTTTTCTAATCCAAACTCCCAAAGTCCACATTCCTCCAAACAAAAGCATGGTCAGGCACCATGACAGTAATACCCCAGTCCCCGGTACCAACTTCTGTCTTATTTTGGGTTTCTATTGCTGTGAAGGGATACCACGACCACAGCAACTGTTATAAAGGATAACTGGGTTTAGATTACAGTTTCAGAGGTTCAGTCCAGTACCATCATGGCAGGAAGCATGGCAGTGTGTAGGCAGACATGGTGCTAGAGGAGCTGAAAGTTCTACATCTTCATCTGCAGGCAACAGAAGCAACTGTGTACTGGGCATAGCTTGAGCATATATGAGTACTCAAAGCCTGCTGTGACATGTGTCCATTGTGACACACTTCCTCCAATATGGCCACACCTCCTAATAGTGCCACTCCCTATAGGCCAAGCATTATACACATGAGTCTTGGGGGCCATACCTATTCAAACTACTACATAGATCTACCACAAGATAAAGCTATTCTACTTTTGGACAAAGACCCAAAGGACTCTGTATCCTACTATAGAGATGACTGCTCATCAATGTTCATAGCTGCTCTTCTTACAATAACCAGGAAATGGAAACTACCTAGATGTCCATCAACAGAAAATGAAGTATATTTACATACTGGAATTTTAATCAGCTGTTACAAAAAAACATGTTATGAAATTTACAGGTAAATGAAATAAAGCTAGAAACAATCATTCTAAGTGAGGTAACTCTAGACCAAGAAAGACAACCAGTTCATGTTTTCTCTTATTTGTGGATGTTAACTTTGAATCTTCAGATGTGTGTTTTTTATTGAAAACACCCATAGATGTTAGAAATTAGTAAGGGGGAGTGGGTTTTCAAGGGAGAATATATAGAACATGGTTGTATAAAGGGTTGAATAATGAAACATGAAGTAATGAATTCAAGTGGAGGATGGAAGTGCTGGGCAGAGGAGGGAAAACAGAGAATAAATAACACTAAAGACCTTTAGAAAAAGTCATATCGAAACCTACAAATGTAGAAGTGCCTATGTGTATGTACACACACACACACACACACACACACACACACACACACACACACACACGAGTGTTAATGTGGAGTTACACTGTATGGGGAAGACAACAGACTTATCCATGCACCATTTGTGAGACAGGTGCTACTATATCCTGCTGACATACTGACTATGGTCCTCAAGACCTTGAGCAGTAGGCACAACAATTTTTATCATTCACATTATACAAGTGAGATACAATGACCTGGACAGTTTCCCAAATTCTCACTTCTCATTCTCAGCTCCCACAGCCATTTCCTTTAGGCTGGACATACATGGTTGTTTCAGCTAATCGACTGGTGAATGGAAGGGATCCAACAGATTCAATGCTTATTTCCCAGGACTTCCAATCCTTCCCTACTTGTAGGTGGAAGAGGATTTGTAAATCCACAGCAATATTGCTGTCTTGTACCCAGGTCTAAGCTGGGAAAGAAACAAATCCCTTGTTCTTACACCACTATATGGCTGGGTGTCTGGGTGGAAGGAGAAGAGAGGCACACAGACCTACTCTGAAATATAGAGAAGAGAGGCAGAAATGAGCTTTGGTCATTATGGTTAGCTATTTGCTTAATGAAAAGTATTTAATAAACTTTGAAGAAACATTTTTTTTTTTGGTGAAAACAAACGTTTTTAAAGATAGAAAAAGGTCTTGATGATAAATGAAAAGCATAATGAACAACGGCCAACTCACTGAATTGTAAAAAAAAACAAGGGCATGGGAAATTCCTTAGCTACTGGTACTTAACAGCCATTATTTTCTAATAATATAGTAGTAAATAACAAATATATAAAGCATGAGTTGTGTAGCTTCTTAATAAAAAAAAAACATGCTTGGTAACTTATTAAGAGCCCAGGATTACAGATATCACCTAATCTAATTAGTAAAAGCTTGTCTATAAAAATAAAGACAAAAGATTAATGACAGAATGCCATGTCCAGAGCTGCAGGGATAGTCTTAATGAGATGAACTGGGCAAGGCTTGCTGGAGTAAGTAAATTAGCATAATGGATCAAGTAAGTACTAATGAGACATAACCAGATGACTTTCCACCTCACTTTTCCAGGGACATGAACTCCAGAGATTTCCTAACAGAACACATCATAAAACAAAACATAAATCATCTATACATTTCTTGAAACACTAAGAAAAGTCTGGGCCTTCCTTGGAAAAAATGACTCTGCCTGTCAATGAGACACCAGTAAAAGACAGAACTTTAATTTGTGACCTTAAAAAAACTTATGTATTTTCTCTCATACACACAATCTAGAATTAACCCTATACACAAACTCACACTTATGCAATATGAAAGCAGAAGGGGGTCTCTTTGGGGTAAGGAAAAAGGGGAAGAAGTCAGTAGGGATGAATGTGTGAAAACAGGCTCATTGCTTGCAACATTATCTAAATTAAAAAAAAAAAAAAAGAAAAAAAAGCCAGGAAAGGTGGCACACACTTATAATCCCAGCTGAGGCAAGAGGACTGCTACCAGTTCAAAGTGAGCCTGGGATATGGAGTAAGACTCCCTGTTAAGAACAAAATAAAAATCATGATAATAGTTTGTGAGTTTTAATCATAAGTCTCAAAGAATGAGTATCAAAGTAATTCCAACTTCCTCTATTAAAGCTGTCACTTACTGACAGTTCCAGTTCTGATCCCAAGTCTCTGGTGACCTACAAGGACTTGTCAGGATCAGTCTCAGTTACAGCAGATGTCCACAGTCAGAAGGGCACTGAGAACTTACCTATGCGTGCATGGACTTTACTCTCAAAACCCACATCCATAATTCTAAAATGTTAATTTAAAACAGTCAAGGAAGAAAACCATTTACTGGTACTAAAGGCTTTACTGTAATAAACCAAATATATTTACAATTTATACAAATGTTGAACCAACAAAATTACAAAAAAGAAAAAAAAAAACACAAGATGCAAAACCAAGAAACAAGTTCGTTGGAGACACCACCGCTCTACAGAGGACTCAACACGAAGTGAACTGCAAGGAACAGAAAAGTAAGCTCACAGTTGGGCAAGGTGTGACTGACTGGCAGCAGCTTGCTCCTCTATCCCACACTTGTGGCCTCTGTGTGGTTGTGGTGTCCAAAGGTAGACAGGTGACTGTCTATTGACAGACTTGTTGCTTCTCTTTGTAGACTCAAAGCAGTTCTGTGTCAACATTTGGAAACTGGTTTCTTCAGTTGGTTTGTTTTTGTTTTTTAATTATAACTTTTCTATTTCTACAAATTCCAAACATTTGGCCCAATTCAACTGTAAATATGAAGCCACAGTGTTTTCAGTAGATGACCTCATAAACGGTAGCCTTTTTGTCCCCTGAGCCAGTGACTATGTATTTATCATCCACAGAAATGTCACAGCTAAGTACTGATGAGGATTCTTTGGACTGTAAGAAAAAACAACAGGAAGAGAATGTTTAATGTGTTCCATTTCTGAAGCAACTTCATTAGTTATTTCAAAGGCCATAAGGTAGCACTTCCATACCTGGAATATGCTGGCTCCGTATGGTGTCCGCCAGGCATTGAGGAGGTTGTCTTTTCCAGTACTCACAAACCACTTGCCTAGAATTAGCAAAGGCACATGTAATTCCAAGAATATTAAAATTTCCCATTAAATAGAACATTGTTTTTAGTATGTATGTGTGTATGCGTGAAGGTGAGAGGACAGCTTTCTGGAGTTGGTTCTCTCCTTCCCCCTTGTTGAGACAGGTCTCTAGTACTGTTTCTATTGCTGCCCTATGAGTTTCTAGCTTCCATTCACCTGTCTTAGCTCACTGTAGGAGTGTAGGGATTACAGGTGCTTCCTAGCTCATCTAGCTTTTTAACATGGGTTTCAAAGATTGAACTCAGGTCACCAGGCTTGAGTAATAAGTACTTTTACCCATGGAATGATCTAGCTGGCTCGAAAGAGAGCTTTTTTTTTTCTTTTTTTGGTTTTTTTGAAACAGGGTTTCTCTGTGTAATAGCAATGGCTGCCCTAGAACTCTTTATAGACCAGGCTGGCTTGAAACTCACAGAGATCCACCTGCCTCTGTCTCCCAAGTGCTAGGATTAAAGGTGTGCACCACCATGTCTGGCTCAAAAGAGTTTTTTTTAACATATCAAGAGAAATATCCAAAGGGTTAGTCTATGATTCAAGCAAGTTTTAAATCTAGGCTCTTTGGTGTGATCTTGTTTGTAATGAAAACATTGTCAAAGGGCTGCGGAGATGGATAAACATGTGCAAGCATGTCCACGAATTCAGATTTCTAGCATGTGGCCTTGTATACTTGGAATCCAACCCCTGGAGACAAGTTGGGAAAGGGCATAGAACAGGTAGGCCTTAGGTACTTGCTGGCCATCTAGTCTAGCCAAAAAGACAAGCTCAAAGTTTAGTGAAAAGTCTTGCCTCAAAACCAAGATGGCTTCCACACCCACCTGAGCTTGTTTGTATACGTGTGTGTGTGTGTGTGTGTGTGTGTGTGTGTGTGTGTATGTGTGTGTGAGATAATACAATGAGTCATTTAATACTTTACTCGGCATCACAGTCATTTTCAGTCTTATGGAAAGAGTAAGAACAAAAAGAATTAAATACTGAACTAATGTGAAATGCCTGTCATATCAGATACATAAAGAATGTCTAATTAGTATCATCAGCTACACATTCACCCATCTATCCTCATAGCCAATGATCATTCACAGCACAAAGACAGTCTCTGTGTGGACTTTCCCTTCTCTGTTTTCATTCAGAGGAAAAGAATCTGGGTGCAGCCAACCATCCCTCTGACCCTCATTATAGTCAGTACATAGTGATTTCCACTATTTTTGAACACTACCAAGTACTCCCTACCCCAACCACAAACCAAGTGTGTGCTCAAAGCTTATTTCACTGCCTGCTGACTTTTTTCAAATTAACAAAGCAGGCTGAGACAGACATTACTCTGCTCTGAGGGGCAATAGAATTATAGAATAGAATTACTGCAACCAGCTGCATGGAGAGGAACATTTTCTTTTCCCCTAGATACCATCTCTAACCATATTTTTAAAAAGTATTTTCCATTTAGGCCATCTACAGCCTTGCAGCTGAACTCACCACAATAAGCAAATTTTAGGGACAACACGCAGCTCTCATGGAGGTGCAGCTGGTACTTGTCAGGCTTGTTCACATGCAGAACTTCCACGTTGCTGCTTTCCATCCCCACGGCAAGCCACTCCCCAGTTGGGCAGTATCCCAAGGAGAAGATCTGTTTATAAGAGGACAAGATCACTGATAATTTTACTCAATAAATTAAGAAAGTGAAAAGGCAGCAAGGGATGACAAAATGGAGGTTTAATCAGCCAAATCCAAACTGGGAAGAGGCATGAGATGCAGCAAAGTCCAGAATCCTCTATTGAACAAGTGGGAGACTAAATGGTTTCACCCATGCTGTGAAATAAGAAATCATCTTTGAGAATGGCATTAAAAGTCATCATACAAGCCGGGCGGTGGTGGCGCACGCCTTTAATCCCAGCACTCGGGAGGCAGAGCCAGGCGGATCTCTGTGAGTTCGAGGCCAGCCTGGGCTACCAAGTGAGTTCCAGGACAGGCGCAAAGCTACACAGAGAAACCCTGTCTCAAAAAACCAAAAAAAAAAAAAAAAAAAAAAGTCATCATACAGATATACTAACTGACATACTTGTGCAAGAAAATATAATGTCTAGGATATATAATCCAGTGTTTGGAGTGAGGATAGTAAAATAGACTGGCCAGGCACTGATAACGGCTTAGGCTAGGTAATGTGCACACATGTAACTCTGTATTTGATATAGGCCTACATACGTTTGACATTTATGAGCCTTTGAAATTTTAATAAGTTTAAAAATGGTGACCAAAAATAATATCCTGACTATTCTACAGAAGGGTAGAACAGGAAATATTATAAATAAAATATCAAAAGTCACCTAAAATTAGTATATGACAGTTGACACGATTCTAGAAAGAATTTCAATGAAGAATTGCCTGGATTGGATTGTCCTGTAGGCATGCCTGTGAAGGATTTTCTTAGTTGGGTTATTTGAGTGGGAAGACCCCCAAATATAAGTCACCACTTCATAGGCTGAGGCCTGGCCTGAATAAAAAGGACATAGAGATTGTACTAGTGTACGCACAGTACTCCCTTCCTCTCTGCTCCTTGACTGCGGATGTAATCTGACCAGCGATCTCAAACTCCTGCTGCTACTGTGACCTTATGACAATGATGGATTGTAACCTGGGATGGTTATCTAAAATAAACCCTTTTGCTTTAAGATGCCTTTGTCATGGGGTTTTATCAGAGCAACAGACGTATAGTTGTTTTTCACTTTTACCCTATTTTTTATTTTTTATTTATTTATTTATTTATTTTTTTTTTTGGTTTTTCGAGACAGGGTTTCTCTGTGTAGCTTTGCGCCTTTCCTGGAACTCACTTGGTAGTCCAGGCTGGCCTTGAACTCACAGAGATCCGCCTGGCTCTGCCTCCCGAGTGCTGGGATTAAAGGCGTGCGCCACCACCGCCCGGCTTATTTTTTATTTTTATTACCAGTAAACAAACAAGCAAATCAGTAAATCCTGAGTAAAAAACAAAACAACAACTCTACCATGAGGAAGACACCAGAAAAGAGCAAGTGCTGCTTTGTCAAGTAAGTCTAGATCCAGACACATGACATCTGACTACTTGTCCAAAAGTTACTATGTTTTCAAATTACTTTAAATCTCCAGTTAGTAATAGTAGCATACATCTTCAATCCTAGTACTCTGGAGGCTGAAGTAGTAGGTTAGGACTGTCTGGCGTTTGAGGCCAGCCTGAAGCTAGGCTGTTGCAGAATGAGACCCTATCCTAAAAAACAAAACAAAACAAACCCCCAAACAAACAACCCTATAGTTCTAGTCAGTCATGATATTTTTCTATTTAAAAACTTTTACACAATGTATTCTGACCATTTCCCCTCCCCCAACTCCTCAAAGATGCTTCCCATTTCCCTACCCTCCTCCTACCCACCTCCTCATTCTCTCTCTCTCTCTCTCTCTCTCTCTCTCTCTCTCTCTCTCACACACACACACACACACACACACACACACACACACACACACACACACACACACACACCACAAGCAAAACTACCAATAAGACAAAAATAAAATGCCCAAACAAAACAAAAGCACCCCCTCTACAAAACCCCCATGGAGTTTGTGTTGGCCAATTACTCTGAGGTATGGGGCCTGCCCAGTGTGTGGCAGATACACCTGGTGACCCTCCATTGGAGAAAACTGATTTTCCTTTGCCAGTGGTATCAACAGCAAATAGCTTCTTACTTAGGGATGGGACCCAGGGTCCACTTGCCCCCTCAGTGCTGGGAATTCACCATGATTGTTTTTAAGGTTAAGAAATGAGATAGGTATCCACATATTCTTAAACTCCTTGAAACAAATCAATATTCATTTCACTCTCATTCTGCATTTGATAGTGAGAATACACACAACAGACTATATATCCTGCTGAAGGAAACATGGGGCAGATGGGGGGGGGGTTGTAGGCTGTGGTTTTAAACCTGTTATTTTAAACTGAATGTAGATCTGTTTATCTGACTGCCCTCATGCCAGGGTGGGAGAATGCGCCATACAGACCCTCCTGACTCCACAGCAGGCTAGCGCCCAGCACTCACCTGTGATGTGAAGTCATGCTGCTGCAGCTGCCGCCCCTCTCTCAGGTCCCAGGACCTCACAGTGTTGTCCAAACCGCCTGTCCAGAGCTTGGTGCCATCATTAGAAATGTCAATACAGCTGGCTCCGTCTGTGTGGCCCTGGAATTGCCTGATAAAACAAACCAGACTGAATAATGATTTCCTGCCAGAGCTCAAAGTAAACACTGTTGTGTTGTTAGTTTTGGACTCACTGTGTGTCATCTCAGTGTCTGCTGGTGTGCAATATCAAACTAACCTTCCCCCGAGGAGCACAGGAAACAGCCCCTGCAGGTTCTGTTTCTTTTTTCAAGATCCAAGGCCTAAAGAAATGGAATGGCATTGCAGGCTGCTGCCAGAAGTCAAATATGCTACTAGGGCCTCTGATAAACAGACCCAGCGAAACTCTTCCCAGGTCTGGAAAAGAGTTTAAGTACTAAAAGACAATAAAGATAAACACAAAACCCAAATAATTTCCTTAAGGAACGATAAAAACCTGTCCTTCAGTGGCCAAGGCTTGAACCCACAGAAAGGAAAAGGCTCATTCCAAGAACACATTCATTCAGAAGAGAATTGACCAGCAGTGCCCTTCCTGCTAGCACAGCATGAGCTCTCCTGTGTACTCAGCTTTGCCATTCTGAATCAGAAAGGGCCTTGCATTAGGAAATGTGGACTCCCAGAGACCAAGGGTCAAGCAGGCCTCTTGACCTCAGAGGTGCTAGGCAGAGACAAAGAAAAGGACTGAGGACAACAGACACTTGCCAGATCCCACCCCCCATTGCAAGACTTTCTTTATAGGGGGCATTCATGCAACGTCCAAAGAGCATCCAAATCAACTGGGTGGCAGGGGTTTTTGACCTCTGGAAGGGCATGAGGCAACAAGTCAGGTTGGCCGTGGGGAGAGCAACATGAGCACAGAAGGGTCTGGGCTTGGCATGTGGGAGGGTACATGCAGTGACTCTCACAAACTTGACTCTACATGCTGAGCATGCACTGGCCAGGGCAGATCAGAGGTCAGGACCCACCTTCAGAACCAGGAAAGACCCAGCATAGAACTGCTTAGGAATTTCAATGCCAAGAAGGTCCTTTCTTTCTCTAGGCCCCCCATACCTTATTGCCACAGAGCGCCAAGCTTAGAATTTAAAAGTGTAAGGGAAGGAAAAATCACCACTGCTGCCTCGAATTCTTAGCCAAGATATGAGCCAGAAATCTTTTTCTCAGAAGCTCAATCACTACTTCAGATCCTGTCCCAACTAGTCCCCTCATCCCACATGCCCAGTATTCCTGCTGTTGCCCAGTAAGTGGACCTCAACAGTGCTAACAGGCCTCTCCATGATCACCCCAGGCTGAAGGAGTCCTTGTGGTACCTTTCATCTCTTCAAACAATTGTCACAACCTTTTCCTTTCATCCTAACTTCTCATCACCTTTTCAACTCAGTTAATTATTAGTTCTTCATTCCAAACATGTTTCCCTATCAGCACTAGATGGGTACTCCTCCAGCCTCCCCCTCCATGCACACCCTAGTGTGACTGCCAAGTTGTTGACTGTTGAGAATATGCTGTGTCATAGGAGATACAGGACTCTGTCACAGAGCCACTGGCCACACTGGACATGGTCAGTCCAAACTAAAAGACATATACCCCACCCCACCCCCACATGTATGATTGGTGCTTCTCCAGGGAGCCAGCACAAAGAATGCCAGGTCTGACTACATGACCAAAGCAAAGTAACTTCTGTGCCTGGGTTCCTCATCTATAAAATAGAAGACAGCAGTACAGACAGCCCCGACTTAAAATCCCAGTTTCTACTTCCTAAAGGCTGGGGTTACAGGTCTTTACCACTACACTTAAGTGCTTTCTCTTAAAAATAGTTTTCTGGAACACCTCTGGCATGAGCACTAAATGGAGCCAGACTAGTTGCTGAGGGAAGAGGGAGGATCTAGAAGCTTAGCAGAGGTCCATATATTCCCAAGAGCAACGGCCCTCATAGTTAGCTACAGAGAAATATAGATGTTTTAAAGCCATTTTGTGGTTTCAATTCATGGAAGCTCATTTTTAATGTTCTTTTGTTGTCTTGTGTAAGTAGATTTCTGTTTGCACACACCAGACTCTGGTCAAGCTCAAATCATCTAGACTGGAGGCCCTTGTATTGTCATTTATTCCACATTATATTGTTCTTTGACAAAGCCAGATCTTCCATTTCAATGTGAACCAAAGAACGGGAACATGAAGGAGATACGGTATTGGTGACACTCTGGCATAAGGCAAGACTGCTCTCCTCATTCACAGCTGGCCAGTTTGCCCTTATATCCACACTCAACAAAAAGCAGCCTCTTAATTGAGGCTTCCCCTAGGAAGGACACTGTACTCACCTCACCAGGGTCTGGTTGTGCAGGTCCCACACTGCGATGTTGCCATCACTGCAGCATGAGAAGCAGACTTTGGAGTCAGGGCTGATGGCCAGGGCATAGCAGGCAGGGGCTGAGGATGTCAGCTCTGCCTTTATGCGGGGGGTTGGAGCTGCCAAGTCCCAGATGGATAGAGTACTGGCTTCCCCTCCCACTATGAGAGTACAGCCATCAGGTAGCAATTTACAGGAACGGATGTAGTTATCTCTATTCTGTGAAATAATAGAATGTAATCACTGTAGAGCATTGCCAACTGATAATACTGTGTATTCCTAAATGCTGTTCTGGTTTTTAACTTCAAGAGAGGCGTTTCATGGACACTCTGTTCTACAGGAAAGATCAGGGTCCAACTGTCATTGTCTTTTCCCCAAGAGTAAACAAACTCATAGGGCTGCTCAACCGTGTTCCTGATTTCCAAGTGCATAGACAGACCCAAAAGCATACAGGTGGAAGGCAAATGTCAGTATACTTCTCTCCCTATGGGGAACAGGTTTCCTCACCAACATTTATGGTTGGATAGTGCAGATTATGTGGTAGTACTGTGTTCCCCGAAATACTGTGCACTCTAATAAACTTATCTGGGGTCAGAGACAGAACAGCCACAATATTAAACATAGAGGTTAGGCAGTGGTAGCACACGCCTTTAATCCTAGCATTCCAGAGGCAGAGATCTACCTGGATCTCTGTGTTCAAGCATGGTGATTTACGTCTTTAATCCCAGAAAGTGAGCCTTTAATCCCAGGGAGTGATGACAGAAAGCTGAAAGGTATATAAGGCATGAAGACCAGAAACTAGAAGCATTTGGCTGGTTAAGCTTTTAGGCTTTTGAGCAACAGTTCAGCTGAGAGCCATTCTGGATGAGGACTCAGAGGCTTCCAGTCTGAGGAAACAGGATCAGCTGAAGAACTGGTAAGGTGAGGAAGCTGTGGTTTGTTCTGCTTCTCTGATCTTCCAGCATTCACCCCAATAACTGGCCTCAGGTTTGATTTTATTAATAAGTACCTTTAAGATTCATGCTACAAGACCCACCAAATCTGCTTTTGTTTTTGATGCCCAATAACTAATGAGTACTTATCTAAGAATTTAGTGGATTGGTTTTCTCAATATTAGCATGGCTAATTGAGAGAAAGAAAGGGGCGGGGGGAGAAACACAGACAGACACAAACATGCATACCAAGTCTTTAAAAGATCTGCCCCTCTTGTCTGAGAATAACATCTTAACAGATAAGGAGAGGCAGGGCAGCCCAGTCTGCTTCAGTCTGCTTAAGACCAACAGCACAGATCTAACAATCCTAAGGCAAATGGGTGTGTTTAAGCTCTTGATGGGGGTTGCTAGGTGCTTTGAGAGACAATTCTTTCTGTTCCTATCTTACTGAATCTATGGTAGGAAAGCAAAACTATCTCCCTCACCTCCTCAACAATACCAAACCTGTTTGGAAGGGTTTTCATGCCATATTAGCAAATGTGTTGTTTTGATATTTATCTGGAGTTTACAGGAAAATTTAAAGGTGAGTAGATTGCAGGGATCAGAGTCCATATTATCTGCTTTTCTTCTACTCCGTGGGACACTGTCTTAGGAAACATGTCTACAGGGTGAGCGCCAAACCACTGGAAAACATCTCCAAAAATAAACCCATCCACACTAGGATTTAACCCTCATAGTAGCAGTAACTGAACCCTGCCCAATTTGGGGGAGGGGGAGGGGCTTGAGCAGCTAACACAGAAAACAGAGGGGATTCCAGTCCCTCCTGACAGAAGTGAAGCTCAGGCCCCTCATGCTCGCTCACCAGGCAGTCCAGCTGAGAGACGGGGCTCTTGTTGCCAGGGTGGCTGATGTCCCAGACCTTAACGCAGCCCTTGCCACCCGTGTACACGTGCCTTGTGGGGTTGCTGATGGTCACCGCGCACACCACCTCCCCATGGTTGAGGGTGTTGATCTGCCGAGCATGTCGGGGGATCCCGGGTCCAATGAGGGCATCAGGGGGAAAGGGGACAGGCTGCATCTGGCCATCGGCAGTAACGTGGAAAGAGTACGCTCTACATGAAAGAAAATAAAAACACACTTATCACAAAGGGAGCCATAGCCTGGAGATGGGGAAAGGTGGGGGCTTCCTTGCCAAGGCTTTTCCTTCTGAAATGAAAGTAAGTCGAAGTATTTCCTAATGCAAAACACTTAAAAGTCTACATTCAAGCTATTATTTTTATAATGCTCTAAACCATATAAACTGTTTTAAATATTTTAATATATAAAATTGTTCTTATACATTTTACAAAGCATTCTCTCAAATCTCACTATAAAAATGTGTGTCTAAACTGATATAGCCTTCCACATACCTTATACATGATTTCTTAGTATAATTTAAAACACTTAAGATAAAGCCTTTAAGAACTCTAATCACACAGTAAATAATGTCCCTCAATATTAAAGCGAGGAAAAGAATACAGCTTTTGGGATTGGAAGGATGCTCAGTGGTTAAGAGCATAGGCTGCTCTTGCAGAGGACATGGGTTCTATTCCCAGCTTACATGTGGCTTATAAACATCAGTAACTCTAGTTCTAGGGGATCTAACACCCTCTTTTTGCATCCCTGAACACCACACACACACACACATACATACACACACACACACACACACACACACACACACACACACACACACACACACACGGTACAGTAACACATATACATAAAATAATTAAAAAATTAAAAAACAGCTTTTTACAACATATTACTTTAAGCTTTTGACTCAAACCCCTTTTGTACAACCAAGAAAAAATAAAAGAGATTCTTATATCAGATGACAGACATTTCCTACCCAGTATTTTCTTATATTTACTTGAGAACCACCAACCCCAGTTTTATCTGGAGGCAAAACACCCAGCTAAAGGAGCATCTTCCAAACTTCATATTAGCCATAGTACCACATGCTGTACAATGAGAGGCAGGCAGAACTTGCTGAGAGCATTTGCAACTTAGTTCTTCACTTGAAAGAAAAGTAGGAGAGGCAAATGTAGCTAGAGAGCTTCTCTCCGGGTCTGCCAAGCCCCTGCAGTCCCACAGCCCACTTATAAAATAAACACACAGAGACGCTTATATTATTTAAACTGTTTGGCCTAATAGCTCAGGCTTCTAGCTATCTCGTTCTTACATCTTAAATTAACCCATATCTATTAGTCTATAAGTTGCCACGTGGCTCGTGGCTCACCGGTATCTTAACATGTTGTTTCTCATGGTGGCGGCTGGCAGTGTCTCTCTGCCTTAACCCTCCACTTCCCAGAATTCTCTTCTCTACTTGTCCCGCCTATACTTCCTGCCTAGCTGCTTGCAAATCAGCATTTTATTTATACAGAGCGATATCCACAGCAGGCAAATATCTGAGAACTTTCTTCAAACTTTTCTGTGAACCTAAAACTTATATCTAAAAATTAAAGTTTATAACATTTTCAAAAGTGAAGCAAAGGAACTGGGGATGGCACAGGGTTGAGCCCTAGCTGTGATATGAAGGCCCCAGGTTCTGTCAAGCAACACAAGAGATGCTTGTCCTTCCCAATGCCTAACTAAGCAAGCTGACGGGACTCAGGAAGTCCTTCAGACTAAAGGGCAACTTCGAAGATGGGAAGTAACTGTGGAGGGAGGTAGAAGATGCTGATGGGCTGGTACCTGTCCTGGGTTGCTGACTTTCGTGAGAAATGAAACTTGCATGCTATCTGTCTGCTGTTCTCTTCCCAGATACACACAGATGAGCCAGATCCTAGTGAAGAACTTTCATCTCTGGCAACAAAATTCAACATTTTTTTTCTTCCAATGTATTAAATTATTACTTACTCCCAAGAGCTAGCACACAATGGGCATCATAAAACACACAGCAAAGCTGGGCGGGTGGTGGCACATGCCTTTGATCCCAGCACTTGGGAGGCAGAGCCAGGAGGATCTCTGTGAGTTCGTGAGATCCAGGATAGGCACCAAAACAACACAGGAAAACCTTGTCTCGAAACCCCACCTCCCCCCCCACAAAAAAACCACACAGCAAAGACACTTTAGAAAATGGAAGATACAGTGTTTCCACTCCCATCCCAGGCTGAAAAGCACTGTTTCCTCTTATCTCAGCCATCACTAGATCTAGGAGTTTAAGTCAACCAGCATAAACAAAGCCTGCAGGATTTGTCCATTTCTGTAACCTTTTTGGGTAAGAATGAGTCCTTTCTGGAACTTGTCCTTGACATTTTGACACATGTAAACACCATGAATACTAACATAGCTCTTGAACTTTTATTCTGCTAATAACTCAATTTGTGCAAAATAACTTGGAACAAAACTGAAAACTGATACTCAACATCATGTCTCTATGAGACTGCACTTAAAATGCATATTTATTAGCCTGGAAATAAAAAATAGGTTACTATTTTCCTCCACAGAAGCAAAATATCAAATAAATAAAGTCTCTAAAAGTTTCGTTCCTGCAGCTAAAGGGAAGATCTTACATGTCCATTATCTCCTAGAAAACTGGCTCCAGCGGCCAAAGGAAAGTGGTTGTTTGTCCCAAGTTTGTTAACAATGCTGTTTTATAATGACTCCCACCGTGACCGAGAAAGAACGGTGGTTACTCTGGTGTTTCGGCTTTTTTTTTTCTCCCCTTGCATTACAGAGGATTGAAATCTAAAGCCTTACACATGATGGGCAAGCTCTCTACTGCTGAACTGTATCTCTAGCTCCTTTTAAAAATGTTTTTTGAGACAGAGTCCTGTAGCTGAAGTTATCCTGTTCCTGCCTGGCTCCCGCGGCCCTCAGACCCAAGCAAACACACAGAGACCTATATTATTTACAAACTGTATGGCCTAATGGCTCAGGCTTCTTGCTAGCTGTTCTTATATCTTAAATTAACCCATTTCTATTAATCTATAAGTTGCCACGTGGATCATGGCTTACCTGCATCTTAACACACTGCTTCTCATCATGGCGGCTGGTGGTATCTCTCTGCCTCAGCCTTCCACTTCCCAGAATTCTCCTCCCTGTTTGTCCTGCCTATACTTCCTGCCTGGCTACTGGCCAAATAACATTTTATTTGTCAATCAATCATCCACAGCAGAGTCCTACTAAGTCACCTAGGATGGCCTTGAATTTGTCATCTTCCTGTCACCTTCCCAATTAGCTAGGGTAGCAGGTGTGTGCCACCAGGCCTGGCAATCAGATAGTACAACTCAGTTTGAATAACTGAGCCACAGAATGGGAGCCATGCAGTATCACACACACACATACATACACATGCCTGCACTACCGCCTCAATGTTTACTTCTTCAATCCTCCAAATCAGTGTTTTTTTTTTAAATCCAATAAGACCCACTGTATTTTTTTTCTTTGAGAATTTTTAAAATTTTTATAAATATTTTTATTTTATAATTAATTTAATTTTACATATCAGCCATAGATTCCCCTGTCCTCCCTCCTCCCACCCCCCAGCCTTCCCCCTCCCCAACCCACTCCCCATTCCCACCTCCAATAGCTGAGGAGCCCCCATGGAACTGGACCAGGCCCTCTGGATAAGTGAGACAGTTGATGAGCTTGAACTGTTTAGGAAGTCCCCAGGCAGTGGGACCGGGACCTGTCCCTGGTGCATGAGCTGGCTTTTTGGAACCTAGGGCCTATGCTGAGACACTCTGCTCAACTTTGGTGCAGGGAGGAGGGGACTGGACCTGCCTCAACTGTATTCTTAACAATACAAAACCACATATGCATATTACAGTTATTTGAATAGAGACCCATATTACTTATTATGGAATATCTGCAGCTTCAATCAACTAGTACTATGTTGCCCTTGGAGACAAAACTGCCAAAGCACAGAGGTTTGAGTCTGTTATTCCTGTCCTAGAAGAATTCTGGACTTCAAATAACTGGTAGGGAAAAATCTAGTAGCAAGTTATGTAACCGTCTTATTTCATTTCTGTTGCTGTGATAAAATACCCTGTTACCAAGTCACTCAGGGGAAGAAAGGTGCACTTGGCTTGCAATTCCATGTTACAGCCCACTACTATGGGAAACTCAAGGAAGGAACTTAAAGCATCATGTCCAGTCAAGAGCAGAGAGAATAAACACATGGATCCAACCTCATTTGCTCACTTTCATCTAGTTTTTGTCTCTAAATACTACTGAAGACCTCCTGCCTAGGGAATGGTGCTGCTCAAAATGGGCTTCATATATCAATTAATAATCATGATAATCCCCCACAGACGTGCCTACAGGACAATCATATCTAGGTAATTCCTTATTAAGACTCTCTTCCCAGGTGATTCAAAGTGTATCTAGATCTACTAAATAGAGTTGCCTTATTAACACAGTGACCCCAAACACCAGGTACCATGACCAGGGTCCTAAAGTGACAAATGAGTATTCAAGTAATGTGGAAGAAATGTTCCCATAAAATAACACAGCTAGATTGCACTATTTTTTAAAAATGGTGGTTTAGGTGAAGAGAGAACCTACCCATCAAATTTCTGGCTACAAGAGCAAGGGCAGGGCATAGGCAGAGGCTGAATTCTCAGCCATCAATCAAAATGGGAGCTTACAGGTAAGAAAAAAAAAATTTGCATCAGGTGTCCTTCCAGAAATCCTAGATTTTCAGTGGGAGTCTACTTTATCTGCAATTAGAATCCTGCTGATTACAGAGTTAAATATTTCAGATTAATAAAGTATCTGTACCAAGTACAGATGGGAAAGATGTCTGCTAGTCTTTGAGAGACCCATTTCCCAGGTGTGTTTTTCTGACAACACAGGAGCCAGTAAGCTCATACTGAGGCAATTTAAAATGGATTCTCAGTGCAATGAGCACTGTGCACACCCATCTGCCCCATGGGAAGCCCAGATGGATGCTAATGTATCAGTCCTGGGTCCTGAGAGGAAGCAGGACAGCTCAATGAGCTGCAGAGCCTCAACAAATGAACAAACCAAGACACACAGGCAGTGAGCTCTCCTCCAGGGATCCACACGGAGAAGAGCAAGAGGAGAACAGAAATGGCTGGAATTAGTTATTCACCCACAAAAA